CTCATGCCAGCCGAGAGGCATTTCTTGAAGCGGCAGTACTGACAGCGATTGCGATTGAGCCGGATCACGAGGCACTTGCCGTCCCTCAGGCAGCGATATTCAATCTGCTTTTGTATGCTGCGCCGAAAGAAGCCCTGCAACATGAGAGAGTTTTAATGAGGTCTCTTTGATAGAAATGTGCAACTTACCTTGCAACCCTCGCAGGAGGTTACGCCGTAATGATAGCCCGAAGCCTTGTCGCCACAAACTTTGCACGGCACAAACGACTTTGAGGAGACGCCGTTGCCGTTGTTGTTGTTGTTGTTGTGATTGCTGTTGCTGCTGCCGTTGCTAGAGTCAACAATGCCAAATTGCTGTTGCTGCTGCTGAGCGTGCTGCTGTTGCAGCTGTTGTTGTTGCGAGTGTTGCTGTTGGTGCTGCTGCTGCTGCTGTTGCTGTTGCTGCTGTTGCTGTTGCTGTGAGTGTTGCTCTGCAATGACAAAGTGCATTTGCTGTTAGCTCCTTGCCACATTACTCATACGCCACTTGGCCAAATGAGCTGGCGTCAATCGACTATCGCCTGCTCCATATCTCTAGCCCCACTCTCGTCCCACTCTCGCCCCACTCTCGCCCCATTTGTCAGTGACAAACGCTGACAGCCTGCGCGTTGCTGCTGTCAATCGAGTGGCCCAGCTCCAGTGCTGCCTGTGGGTGGCTATCTGCTCTAACGGCATTTGAATTCAGGTGCAAACAAATTATATTAATGGACAGCACGATTGGGGCAATATCGGGTTGGCATTTGCCACAGTTAAGCCGCACAGAGTGAAGGACTTGCAAAATTGAATGTGCCACATACATATAKGAGCCAAGTAAGTAAATATTTAGTATATCTATTTTAATTTGAGTAATGTTTTTAATTTTTAATTTTAATATTCCGTTAAAGTTATTTGGCTATATGTAAATATATATTCATTAATTTGTAGCAAATTAATTTAGTATATATATGCACATTTGCCTTTTATTTATTTCATTGTAATTTATTTTTTATACTCATTCATTTTTTGTAAAATAATTTAATATATATTTCGGTATCTTCGAACCTTTGCTCGTAATTCCAAATTTAAGGAGACTTCAGATGAATTGTTACTCAGAAGTTATCACATATGTGTGTGTGTGTATATGTGTGTGTGTGTGTGTGTGTGTTGGTGCACGTATATATTTGCATGTCTATGGAAAGTAAGCTGAGAATGAAACTGCAGCTCAGCGCAGAGTTTAGGGTATTCACTAGTCAGGTATGCCTTACATGTTTATTAAACAACTTTACAACTTTTCAAGTTCTCTTCAGCCGCTTCTCGGCCAAATTCTTGTTAGTTTTGCGCCTGCAACAACAGACTCCGAAATGCATTAAGTGAACGTAATTGCAGCAAATAGACAGGCAGCAATCAAACTAAAAACTCAAATTCAAATTCAAATGCGAGCAGCAGCTACAAAAGTGCATTCAACTTCAACTTCAGAAACTGCAGCAGCTTCAGCAGCTTCGGCAACAACAATGCTGATGGCTGCTTGAATGTGCGATAAGCAAAAATGCCAAAAAATCACGTATACGCCACAGACAGAGCCACCTACACAAGAGCAGCAGCAACTGAAGCAGCAGCAGCAGCAGCAACTGAAGCAGCAGCAATTGCAGCAGGAGGAAAACTCTTCAACAAGCCGCACACAAATTTCCACTGCAAGCGCCGAAAATTTGCAATGCAAATTGCACAGGAAAAATTGAGGCAGACAAGAGGCAACAACAACAACAACAACAACTCGAGAAACTCTGCTGGCTTCTTGGCATTTCATTTCAATTTGCCTTTTTCTAATGCAAAGAAAAAGGCAAATGAACTAAGCGCGGAGTTTGAACTGTGAATTGCAGTTGCTGCTGCAGTTGTTGCCGCCACCGCTGCTGCTGCTGCTGCTGCTGTTGTTGTTGTTGTTGCAGCAATCGGCATTGCCACACCTCGAAATGCGAAGCAAAATGAAATGAAATTAATGTGCAGCTTGCACGCGCCAACGAGCGACGCACTGCCAACTGGACGCAAGAGCAGGAGCAGGGGCAGGGGCAGGGGCTGAGAGGAGTAGGGGTTGGGCTGGGGCTTGTGTGGGGCATATGCCCCAGTGTTACGGGCTTGTGCGATTGCAAATTGAATTTTCAGCTAAGAGTGGCAGAGCGGCGGGCCGAGACGGGGGCTGACTGGAAAATGTCAACGGCAAAGGAAATTCAAGTGGCAATTGTTGCTGTTGCTGCTGCTGCCACAAATGCTGCAACTGCAACTGCTGCGGCTGTTGTTGTTGCTGCTGCTGTTGCTGTTGCTGCTGCTGCTTCAGTTGCTGCTGCTGCTGTTGCTGTTGCTGCTGCTGTTGTTGCTGCTGCTTCAGCTGCTGCTGCTGTCGCTTCATTTTCGCGCTGCGTTCAAATGCAAATCACTTGGCCGCCTTTGTGAGTTGACAATTTAGATGCCATTGTTGCTGGGCCGGGCGGAAGGGTGAGGAGAAGGGGCGTATTGTGGGCAGGGGCCGTGGCAGGGCCAGGGGCAGCTGCCGCTTGGCATTTCCGCGTTGCCAGACAGTGGCAAGCGAGCAGTTCATAATTTTGTATTTATTTTCCCTATTTTTCGTCTTCTTTGCATTCAGCGATAAAAGACGCAAAGTGGAAGGCAAACTGATTGAATACTTGGAAAATCACTTCAAAGGGGCCAGGGGGGAGCGCGCAGTTGAATAATGCCAAACGACAAGAGCAACGGGATTTGACAGGGCCGCAGCCGCCACTTCAACTGCAATTGAGTTTCTTTTGCCGCCTTGCTAATTGCGGCAATTAAATGCTGCAAATAAATCCTGACAATTGCTTAAATGCAAGTGCAACAGCAACAGCAACATCAACAGTAACAACTGCAACAAAAACAACTGCGGTCAATTAGAAAGCGCGCGCACAAGTTTCCTTTGGCAAACGGAGCTAACTCTTTTAGAGTCTAAAGATTCCATTGCAAGTTTCGAGAAAGATATAGCTATATAAAGTTTAGATAGAGAAGTACATATGTATAAATATAGCTATATATGTTGGGCTTTATGATCATATTCCTTATGGCTGAAGTCCTAGAAATATGCTTAAACAGTTTTAAGCTCAACATTTTGGTCTGAGTTAACTTTTGACATAAACTCGTTTCAATAAGAATTACATTTATTTATTTAAATTTAGTTGATTTCTTTTTTTCAGCAAACTTCCTAACTTATTAATATTTGATCATGTTCTTTTATTTTCATCAGGCGATTTGCATTTTAACCAAAGCCCATATGGATTGTACGGACAGACAGACAAGCAGCCCCTTACCGCTATATCCTGATCTATCTCTAGCCACTAAATTCAAAAATGTAAATGTGTTAATGTTAATGTTAATGTTAATGTTAATGTTGATGTTAATGATGTTAATGTAAAGCTAACATAATTTGTAGGACAATCACAATCGCAGGATATATTTCAAAAAAAAAAAAAAAAATGTTTAGCAGAAAATGTACTTATATACAAAATAAATAGAAAGATTATGTGAGAGAGAGAGAGTGAGAGAATATCAGAATATTTTTAGATATTTATCCAATATATTACAGAAATTTAGATTTATTTAGATTCAATGAAAAAATTTGTAAAACGAAATCAGAATTGAAACAAAAAACAATCCTACGATATCAACCATAACATTTATGTAAACATAAACCTATTTCTTTGGTATCAAGGCGTAAATTCCAGAAACTGGTAGGCCAGTTAATCTGACCACAACATTTTCCTAGTAAACTCACCCATATAACTCTGCTCACACATAATAATAAAAAATTATTCAATACTTTTGCAACTTCAAAATCATTTCACTACCTGCAACTCGTTTACTTCCGCAAAATTGATTTGGTGCGAAGCGAGGCCCAATTCAACTAAATTAAAATGTTTGCGGCAATCAAATTAATTGCAGCTGAGCAATGGGCAAATGCAATTTGAAAGTCATTTATGAAAATGAAAACCATTTTGCTATGGCTTTCAATTGCAGCAACAGCATTGACATGAAAGCCAATTTTCCTGGCTGTGAAAACAACAACAGCAACAACAACAACCAGAAGATAAAGAAGAAGCAGAAGAGAAGCGAATTACATTCATTTTCACATTTTCCATGCTGCACTTTAATAGTTTCCGCAACGCAAAGATGGAAAGAGGAAAGAAGAGATAAACACGAGCCAAGGCAGCAATTGTTGCTGGTTGCCGTTGCTGTTGCCGCTGCAGTTGCAGTTGCAACCAGGAAGAGAGACGTGACACGCTGTCTGGCTGTGGCATACCTGTGTGTCCTTTGCTCAAATGCGCAACAGTTGCCGACGTGGAGCTGATCGCTGGCGAGGATGTTGCTGCTGAATGGCCGTTGTGTTGCTGCTGTAGCTGTGGGTGCTGCTGCTGCTGCTGTTGCTGATGCTGATGTTGCTGATGGCTGGCATTGAGTAGGGTTGAACGATTGTAGAGCTCACCACTGGATGCCGACGATGAGGATGAGGATGAGGATGAGACGTTGGCCGAGCTGGAGCTGGAGCTGCAGCCGCTGCTGCGTCCGCTGTCTGGCGAGGAATGTGCCCCGGCCGAGCTGCAACTGTTGCTGGCGGGACCAAACTGATGCACACTGCTGATGGCGTACAGAGCACCTCCACCATTGCTCAAAGCCGTGCAGCTCWGGTGTGCTGCTGTTGCTGCTGCTGCTCCGGCTGCAGCTGTTGCTGGTGCTGCGGCAGCAACTGTTGCTGGCGTGGCACTATAGAAGCTGTCGCACTGCAGCAATTGAAGCGGATCTGCTTCGATGGCACTCAAACAATGTTCTAGCTCCTGTGCTGGGTCAGCTACGACTGCTGCTGTTGCTGTTGCTGTTGCTGCTGATGTTAGCTGTTGCTGCTGTGTCTGCTGTTGCTGCAACTGGTGCTGTTCTTGTTCGTCCTCTGGCTCGGTGTCTAGGCTGCCCGCTTCGCTGAAGGCGCCTTGCGTCGATGAATCCTCGGGCGTGTCAAAGAA